ACCATAATGGGACATTGGTCATAAAAGCATTCAGCTCTGGCCTGGAAATAGGTTCTAACTGGGTGATAAATGGTCCAAAAAGAAACTTCGCATGCTTATCAAGCTCCATATTTGCATCCACACATGCAATGGGATTTTATTACAATTCTCTTCAAGGGAATGATGTGATCTCATTTTCAGATTTATCATCTATGTGTGGCAATGTGAGTGTTGGTATTCATGCTTAATAGAAGTATGAATCAGATACAGCCAAAGGTCAACCAACTGGTTCTGATTTCTCACCCCCGAGGCATATAATATTACATATTCCAGCAATAATTTACAGGGTCTAAACTTTTTGCTAGATCTACGCCCCCCCCCCCCCCCTCTGATCAGTAGATCCCCTTCAGATTCATTGTATTTAAGAATTTTTGCCATCTCTTCATCTTTCTGTTTTTTCTTTGGCAGGGATGACAATAATAGTAAGGAAGATTTCACTGACACTAGACAAGCTTGATTTCATATGCTCCTGTGCCATAGATTCTGTCGAGGAAGGAGGCCCTGTCCTCGTACCCATTGGTTGTCTTGGTATTATACTTCAGCTTTTGGAGCAGATATCACAATCCCTAGAATCTTCAAATCTAAATCGCTCAGTGAATTGTTTGTTCTTAACTTCTAAATTAGTATAATAAGCCATTCTAGACATTAGAAGCTAATACTTTATTTCTACTACTTAAGGGTTTATTATAGTTGTGGGGATGGAAACTTTAGAATTTTTTTGCTTTATTCTTTCAATAAGCTAACAAAGTGTGAAATTTTGATAGGAAAGTTGATGCTGCTGTTAAACATGAACTCACTTTACAACCGTGCTGTGTAAAGATTAAGTTTTTATAATGGCTAGACATAGATGAAAGATCTTATAATGAGATGTTATTAACTCTTCACTCTTTATTTCATTCTATTCTTTCAATGTGTCCCAAAAATAGAAAACTGAATAGACTTCCATAATATCCTTCTTTTCAAATTAAAAAGCATGAAAATGCCAGCCTAAGAAGAATTGTTTCAATTACCACAAAGAAAAGATGAATTGTTTCATGTTTCTTGAGAAAAACCCAATTTGTGCCAAAGAGTCGGGTGAAAAAAGGAAATATGCAATTCCTTGTAATGGTATAATTGAGGAACCTACAGATTCAACCTCAATTTGATGCATAAAGCATGTCTTCAGTGTGTCCAACTCGTAGACATTAGTGATCCAAAATATGGATCTTATGAAAACACTGTACACATCAAAGAAGTGTCTTCCATATGAATCCACATCATGCCAACTGTTGTCTTTACCCACAACAAAGTTGGAAAAAATTGACAATCAGGGAATTGTCCTCCTGGATCCTAGAACAAAGCCAATTATCCTTGATACTGAAACTAGGACTGTTGGCATGTATGCTAACTGTTGTCTTTCCCCACAAGTTGAAAAGAAATCAATCAGAGAGAAAGTTGTGCTTCTAGACCCTAGAACAGAGTCAATTGTACTTGATACTGAGGCTAGGTCTGCTAGGTATGACACATCATTTCGGAAACTTCGCCATCTACCTAACATTAAGGCTGTCAAATCATTTGGACTTGGACATACTGTCTCAGCTTTTTAAAAGGTCATGTAAAAAAGGGCGGCCCAGTGCACGAGGTTCCTGCCAATGTGGGGTCTGCAGAGGGACAGATGTATGCAGCCTTCCCCTGCACATAAAGAGAGGCTGTTTCCAAGATTTGAACCCTGGTCACCCAGGTCATAATGGAGCAACCCAACCGTTATGAGGACAGGTAATGTATAAAAATGCTGTGTTGATATCCTAAGTATGTCCAATTCCAACATTTGTATCCTTTCAACAATCATATAAGAGATGCTTGATCTCTAATGTCCAAGTCCAACATAAGAGATGCTCGATCCTAACTAGAGAGAGAGAGATGATTGATCCTAAATACTGATGGATGGAGATATCCTGATGCCACAAGTGAAATAAGCAACAGTGTGTTACCTCTTATGGAGCATACAAGCTGACATTAAAAAGACTTGTAAGTGTTTAAGGGGCCTTAGTATGGCTCTTTTAGATTTTTTTAGAAACTTCATAAGTTGTTGAGTTGGTTTAAGTTGATTTTTACTTATCTGGATTCTAGTTGGATTAAAATGGAGTTTTAAGCGAGTCAGTTGTGTCCACAATAATTTATGTGCTTTATTTCAAAGTTTGGCCATAATTAGGAGTTCAAAACAGTGACTTGCTGCTCAAGTTTTTCTCAGATTATGATTCTTTTTGTTTTACTTTCCTTTTCAATCTAAATGATAGGATGAAGGGTTTGAATCTAGAAAAAGTGAGTCTTTCGCAGATTGCATGGCAGAAAAGTTGGCTGCTGACCTGTACTGATGCAACTGTTGGTTAGTTAATGTTTTGAAAGTGACCATCTAGACTGACACAGGACTTTTGTTTTGGATAATGCCTTAGAGAACATGAAAGTGAGGAGGTAAACTCCCTTCTTAAGTCCCTAAAAGATGTCTTTCTTCTCCCAGAGTGGAAGGACTCTAGAGTATAAATGCTTGACCCTTTCTAGAGGAGGTTCTCAGTTCTCATGTCCTTCCTTTAGGAGGCTTATGTGATCCTTCCATATCCCTCCCTCTTTCCAGCTAAAACTCTTAGTGAAGGTCCTAATCCTTCAAAAATCAAAAGCATTATGCTGAGAAACTGTAATGAAGATTGCCAACACTTGGCATCTCTACCTTAAGTGGGCATTCTTGCCTCATATGTAGTGGGACTGTACCATTTATTATCCTGCTTCTACAAATCAGCTATATGTAAACACCTTTTCCCCATAATTGTGATTCTTGGGAATCCCTTTCTGACATTATGGATTTGTTTAAGACTTTAAGCCTAGTTTTGTGTCCTTAAAAATAAAAAGAGCAAACATCATGCGGAGTTGTACTGGAGTAGCAGTCCCTTTTTTTTGATAATTGAAATAATTTTATTAAACAGCAATAGACAATAGTACAAAGTCCCCAAGGAAAGGCACGAGTTGCAACCTCTCCGGGATGGTTAAGTACAGATTTCCAAATTAATAACAACTTACATAGAAGCACAAAAAAAGATCTTCCCTAGAAACCCCCTGTTTGGCTAAAGCATCAGCTAAAGAATTAGCAGACCTACTAACCCATTTTACCTCAACTCTCATATTGCTGGTTAACCACTTCTCTTTTCTGATGAGATCTTTGTAGCCCCAAATGGTGGTATCCAAGTTTAGGAACCACCTTGTTACCACCTGAGAGTCCCCTTCAACTAGGAGATGCTCCACTCCAAGCTGGTTGGCGATCTGAATTCCTTGTACTGCAGCAAGGATTTCTGCCCTTGTGGAATCCCCCACTCCCACCGGTCCTGAGAATAGGGAAATTATGTTCTGGAGTAGCAGTCCTTTGAGGAGTGTGGAATTATTTTTATTCCAACAAGGATGGCATATTGGATTCCAACAAGAGATGAGTTCAAAAGGAACCCTTGTAAGACTACATTGAGAGGATGAAGTCACGGTTAGATGTGTCCAAGGCAACCACAGAATATATTTGTTGATTCAGTTTCCCTGAATTTTAGGATGATAAAGCTGAATTGTGATGGATGTTATTTGAGTAACCCAGGGCCCTCAGGCATGGGAGGAGTTTTCAAACATCATGAAGTAATGCTTTATGAGCTTTGGGGGCTGACTGGAAAGGAACCTCCTCGAGCTTTTGCACTGCACCCAAGCTTTAACAGTGTTAAGATGCTGAAGTGAGTGCACCTAAATGTCCCCTATGTGATGTTTTTTATATAAAAACTGGTTAATTCAGTTTGGTTCTATAGCATTTTTATGGTGGCTTGTTTCCTTAGTTGAACTTGTAACTAGAAAACATTAAAAGTGATCTAAAACGAATAATTTAATTAAACATTAAAGTATAATAAAAGCAACATTACATATTTATCAAAAATAAAAAATAAAAGCAACATTACATGGTTTTAAAAATTAATATTTTTTGAAGGGTGAAGTGATAATAGCTCTCACATGGGGGACAAAAGAAATGGGTGGAGGAAAGGTCGAGATTGTATATCTCATCTAAGCTATAGGGATGAGCTCCATTAGAGGGGTGAAGGACCACGAAGTAAAGGGGAATCAGGAAAAAGGTGTCACATGGGGGAGGAGTCTGGTCCAAGTAGCCAAAACAAAATGTGTATGGTAAAATGGTGTTTTTTAAGTCATTTATCAAAAAAAAATGGTGTTTTTAAGTATCAACATATGTATCTATATTATAGCATTGAAAATTGGGAAAGAAAGTGTTTTGGCAGATAACACAGTGCACAATTGTTTATTGTAGTCTTAAACACATAAGCGCCACTAGGTGCCATTGGATGCCACATAAGACCATCAAAGTGGAAACACTCCCTGTTGGGGGAAATGCGAAAAAGATGTTTCCCCAACATCCCCATGCACCAAGGTTCAAAATATCGATACAGCCCGATACACCAGTAGGGGCGTACCAGCCTGTATCGAGGCTCACTTCTTTTGTTTTTTTTTTTCAATCTGGTTCAGAGGAGTCAGTTTAAGGCCCGTCTACCCACTGAACCATGGTCTGACCCGGAGAAAGAAAAAAAAAAACACCATTATGGGGGTGTATCGGGAAGCCTCCGATACGATACGTAACAGCCAAGGTCCAAAGTCAAAATCCCTACATGTACATGGCACTTACATGAATTTGCTCATGTTGTTTTTAAGATCATACTAAACCATCTCCAAAGAAAGAGAAAGCGCTGGTACTGAGGCTAGATGGGCAGGAAGATTTTGGTGAGTTAGAAGCTTTGATACTTCAGAAGTTACATTTCCCCCCTTTTTTAGTTGATACTTAAGAGATTACCTTTCCTGGCCCCATGTAGCCAAAAAAAAAGTTAGCTTCCAAGTAGCATTAAACCCCATTGCCTGAATTAGGACTTGGTAGTATCATGCAACAATGTTCAGAGAAATACTAAAAGAATGACCAATTCATTGACATGGGTAATGTCTCCACAATAAATAATGATAAAGAAAAGTTCACTGTAATAGAATAAACATATCCAAATTCATATCAGAAAAGCATCACGAATTTTTAAGAGATACAAAATGATCCAGAAAATAGCTGCCAATACATGCAGATGTTGGTCTAGAAAGGAGTCAAGTGGTGGTGCACTCTTCTACCTAACTGGTCAGCTTTTAAAGTCATCAATGTAACTCAAGTACTATCCTTTTCTCTCCTAAATACAAAAATATGCATAAGTATAGTTAGGATAGAAATTATGATCTCAAAGAATGAATAGAAAAGCTCGATTTGAGTACCTTTGACATTGGATTGTGTGGACAATCTCTTAGCAATCTATCCATCTCAAAAGCTCCCTCTTTCAAGAATATTAAATGCATATTTTCAACCCATATTTATGATAACAAATCCGTTTTGGGGAAAAAAGTTCCTTGGCCCCTGAGGCAATTTCCTCTTCAAAAGTAAAAGCATTTGTCTAGATATTACTAATGAAGTTCCGTTAAAGCTGGCATCAGCTTCACTGCACTTTAACAGATATAAACCAACCAACTAATCTGCATTTTTCTTGCTTCTGAAGTTCTCCTTCAGCAATGCAAACTTCTTCTTGCACTGGTTCACAGTTTTCCCAGGAACTGCAGCAGCAACTCGCTCCCAACGCTGGGCAGTATCCTTTGGGAAGGTTTTTAAAGCCTGAATAAGTGCTCTTTCTTGAACAGCAGACCACACATCTTGCTCTGCACTCGAAGATACCCCATTTACAGTTACCACTCCTTCAGTATTCCGGTAGCCTGAAGAACTGCTTGAAGACTGATTTGCACTAACTACCTTAGAAGCATTGCTTCCAGGAATGTCTGCAGCAGTTGTTAACCCCTCTGATTCCTGTCTTGTTGTAAGTGGAGATGCAATGGCTTGTGCAGGCTTTCTCTTCTCTAGGAACGAATCAAATGCTTTAGCAGAGTCAGGTTTCTGTAAAAGAACCGTCTTTGTTGCCTTTAGAATCTCTTCTACTGACCTCCCTGTGCCAATGTACTCAGAAATAACCTCCCACCTCCGGGATGTACCTTTGGGATATTTCTGCATCCCTTTCCTCAATAGCTCAATCTCTTCTCTGCCCCAAGGTTTTTCTTTTTTCTCATAGTTGTTCAATGACTGCATGCTGTCCCCATTTCCATTAACCACCAGTGAACCATTCTGTTGTGTGTTCCTCTCTGTTTGTTTTGCTTCCTCCAAGTTACTACTCAATCGCAGTGCATCTTTGAGAATTCTGGCCTGTTCAATCCCTTCTTTATGCTCCAACTTATCACATAGACCCCTCAGTTGTTCAGTTTCAAATGACATACACAGACTCCCAACATCATCCTCTGTGAGGTCTAGCAAACGTTTGGAAACAATGGGCGCTGAGAGTGTCCTCAAACGAGTCCGTTCTTTGCGCAAGAGCTTCTTCTCTTTCTCTTTCACTTTCTTCTGGTTTAAAGCAGCTTCTGCAGCCAGCCTCTCCTCCTCTTCTTTTCGACGTTTTTCCTCTTCAGCAATCTTAGCTGCCTCTTCTTCCTGCAACCTCCTAGCCAGATACTTGGCCTCCTTCTTCCTTTGCTTCTCTGCCTTCTCTTCTTCTTTTCTTTTGAGTATTCTTGGGTCCCTTTTATAGGCATTGTCAACAAGAGTGCGTACCCGTGCATATTCCTCCTTCCTTGCCTTCTCCCTTAGTTTTGAATTCTGCCTCTCCATCCATCTCTTATGATCACGAGATTCAGCTTGCTCTAGATCAAATTCATCAGCGTGTGGAAACTCTCTCCAGCTTTTAAAGCTGTACCAAAAATTGTAGAAACTATCAACTTCTTCCATTGCGGTATTCTCATCACCTAAAGATGGCACTGGTTGGTTAACTGACCATCTCCCATTCCTCATGAAAGCTGGACCAAATACCTTGAAAAAATCCTGTGGGACACAATCAGTAGGAATTTCATCATCAAATTCATCAGTGGAGTCATATATCCTTCTCTTCACAGGATCAATCAGGACCTCATAAGCTTCTTGAATGGCTTTGAAATGGTTTTCTATTTCGTCCTTCTTCGCTTGCCTTGCAGCTTCAGTTTCCTCCGCAAGAAGGAGGGCTGCCTGTTTGTCAGGATGATACTTTAAAGCAGTCTCCCTGTAGCTCTTTCTTATTTGTTCCTCGGTGGCTAGAAATCGTAAATGCCCCAAACCAAGCAAAGCATAATGGTCTTGTTGCTTTCCTCCAGCACCAGATTTCTTTTTACCCTTACTGCTATATGAGTCCGAGTATTGCATGTAAGTTTGCCCCTTGTCACTTGGCACATTCTGATCTTCAACATTTGCATCTTCTTCCTCACCTAAACCAAGAAGCTTAAGTGCAGCCAAATGGAAAGAAAGCCCTGCAGGTTCAAAGTGTGCAACCTTGACAGGAAGACAATTTGATGAAATGTAGATCGGTTCTCCATCAACAATTTCTGATGAATAGGTAATAAGCGGCAATCTTGGTTGGATAGCCATCTCCAGAAGGATCCACCAATTCAAGAACCATAAACTTCACAAGCTCTCCTAAATTTCAATACCAAACAAAAGAGCCTCACTGTGGTTCCACTATCAGAAGAGCAGTATAAAAAAGTGAGCTGCATTTGTAAGAAAATTCAATCAGCAAATGTTCATTCAACAAAAAGATGAATCAAAGAAAGAAAGAAAAGGACAAATAGTGCAGAAGTGAAGCTGATGGACCTAAGAAAGCTTATGACAAAAGCAAACTAAAAAATGAAAAAGAAAAGTTGAAGAAAATAAGACAGTATGAACGTGCAATCATAATTAAGGGTCGTTTCTTGAAAGCCTAACTCATAAAGAAAACCCACGTCACAACTACATAAAAAAAGACCCACATCACAACCAACCATCTTCTTAAATGATTAAATCTGACAAATCAGGGGTATCCCAACAACAGAACTATGGTAATCAAACAAATATAGTAACCATCAAAATACTAAGACTGGACCAATAAAATTGATTAGGGAAATAAATACAATCTTACAGAGTAAAAACTTGAGGGAAAAAAACGCATACCATTTCTCTTCTTAAATGATTAAATCTGACAAACCCAGGGGTATCCCAACAACAGAACTATGATAATCAAACAAATATAGTAACCACCAAAATACTAAGACTGGGCCAATAAATTTGATTAGGGAAATAAATACAATCTTACAGAGTAAAAACTTGAGGGAAAAAAACGCATTTATGCTTCCGAACCAAATTTATATTGCAGTTTCTATAACTTGTAAGAACTTTGCAAGAATGAATTAAATCTTGATAAACAACAAGCCAACAACAATACAATCAGAACACTCCTAACGTTAATTTTAAGCCCCATTAATATTTAAAAAGAAAAAACCAATTTAAGGACGAAGAAATCCATCACAAAAGAACAAAATCCATAACTCCACAAAGCAATTGAACCAATAAGAGAATTAGAACCCCGGCCTCAACTTTATCGGTTATCACCATACCAATTGAAAGACGAAAAAAAAAACTGAATGCAACCCAGAAAATCAAAAGAAATCTGAAAAACAGTGACACCAGATTCATTATTCAGCATCATAATCACTAACCCAAAGGAAATAATAATAATAAAACAGAACTCCTTGAGCATCCACAACTCGATTAGAAAAATGCCTAAACCCAACTTTATCGGGAAAAAAAAACGCCTAAACCCAACTTTATCAAAAAAAAAAAAACGCCTAAACCCAACCATCCCCGAAATCGCCAAACAATTTAACCTCAAAAAGCCAAGGAAGAAAGCTATATTGAAGAAAAAATCATTAAAACAAATATAACTAACAGAAGAAAGCTATATTGAAGAACAACCGACGATTTGAGGAACTTGCCTTGGATCGGGAAAAAACAAAAAACAGGTGAAGAAGAGTTGGAGAAGCACCACTGACGGTTCGTGAACTTGCCTGTGATCGAATTGACCCAGATGAATAAGAGTCGGAGGAGAATCAGAGAAGCCGGAAGAAAGGCCCCAACGATTCTAACTCTTCGGTTTCTACTTTCTAGGGTTTTGTAGAGAGACGAGGCGAATGAGGGGTCAAGTTAGGGCTGTCACCGGGTCGGGTCTGGTTCGGGTCCAGATAGAACCATCCCGAATCGATAATTAATCAGGACAAAATTAGGGATAATTACTTTAATTACCCCAAATTATCTGACAATGATAAAGTACCCCTCAATTTTAAAACCCTGTTTAAACTACCTCTAAACTTCAAAAATAGGACTTAAAAGACCCTTTCACAGGGGTGAACAAGAAAAACCGAAAACAAAATCAAACCAACAAGACCGAATCGAAAATTCTGGTTAACCAAACTGGTCAATTTGGTTTCGGCTAACCAATATAAAAAACCAGTGGTTAAATATGTATATATGTACATATGTATATTATATATTTTTATACAAATTTTATATTACTTATATATTAAAAATGAATATATATGCATTATTAATTACTTGGATTTTAGATATACCATAGTTAAGATAGAAATTGAAAATTAATAAAAGTAACAATATGATTAAAAATAAACTTAAATGCTTGTAGCAAATAAAAATTATTATTATTATTATTATTATTATTATTATTATCATAAATAAAAATAACTTTTATTTTAACAATTATTTTTATTTAATACGATGAATATATAACATCAAAAATGTTCTCAAATGTTTTTGACAAAATTTTGTATATTTTCATTTGTGATATTCTATCTTTTTTTAAATATTTATTGTTTAATTATGACATCATGGGTAGGGCCGTTCACAGGTCGGGTTGGGTCGATTTACTGGCATTTTTCCAACCGACCCAACCTGGTCGATTTACATAGAAATGAAACCGAAACCGACCCAGTACTAAGTAAAACCGACTTGGTCGGTTTGAATCGGTTTGGGTCGGTTTTGTGAATGATTCTCTCGGTGTGAACGGTAAATGATTCAAGTCTAAGAAAGCAAAGGCTGGATGCTTGGAAATTAAAATTGATTTGATGGATTAAAACAGATATTTTATATATCATCAATTTTATATATAATATGTATATTTCTGAAAAATATATATATATATATATATATATATATATATATTTCCACAAATATATATCTAAAATATATATTAAAACTGAAATATATATATATATAGTAAAACTGAAATATATCAGATATATATATAATATATCTGAAATATATTATATATCTAAGTTGGTTCGGGTTGGTTTGGTTTTGGTTTTCACACATGAAAACCGAAACCGAACCGAACCATCGGTTTATGTTTTTTTGTAACCCGAAACGACCGGTGCTGAAGAAAAACCGGTCCATAGTTAAGATAGAAATTGAAAATTAATAAAAGTAACAATATGATTAAAAATAAACTTAAATGCTTGTAGCAAATTATTATTATTATTATCATTATTATTATTATTATTATTATTATTATTGCATTTTTATTATAAATAAAAATAACTTTTATTTTAACAATTATTTTTATTTAGTACGATGAATATATAACATCAAAAATGTTTTCGACAAAATCCTGTATATTTTCATTTGTGATGTTCTATCTTTTTTAAAATATTTATTGTTTAATTATGGCATCATGGGTAGGGTTGTTCACGGGTCGGGGTGGGTCAGTTTACTGGCGTTTTTCCAACCGACCCGATCTGGTCGGTTTACCTAGAAATGAAACCGAAACCGACCCAGTACTAAGTAAAACCGACCTAGTCGGTTTGAATCGGTTTGGGTCGGTTTTGTGAATGATTCTCTCGGTGTGAACGGTAAATGATTAAAGTCTAAGAAAGCAAAGGCTGGATGCTTGAAAATTAAAAATGATTTGATGGATTAAAACCGATATTTTATATATCATAAATTTTATATATAATATGTATATTTCTGAAATATATATAGATATATTTCCACAAATATAAAACTGAAATATATATATAGTAAAATTGAAATATATCTGAAATATATTATATATATATAATATATATCTAAGTTGGTTCAGGTTGGTTCGGTTTTGGTTTTCACACATGAAAACTGAAACCAAACCGAACCATCGGTTTATGTTTTTTTGTAACTCGAAACAACCGGTGTTGAAGAAAAAACCAGCCAACTCAGGTTGGATCGGACCGGGTTGGTTGGTTTGGTTGGTTTAGGCCTTGTTATGAACAGCCCTAATCATGGATTTCTTTGAAAAGTTGGATCATTGACTCACCATCTAGATGAGAAAATAGCTTTGCTTTTGGATTAGTCTTAAAATAGGGAAAACTCTAACAACCAGCTCTAGATTTCAAATTTTAAAAACCCTCAACATATCATTGGAGCCTTATGTGGTTGTCGCCAACATGGGACTCTTAATCCATATTGAACACAACAAAAGCTTATACCGAAATTGCCCTTTAATCTTAGGTGACTGGAAAATAAAAAAAAAATGTTTTGTCTTACACTCTCTCTAGCTCTCTCTTTCTCAATCTCCCTTGCACTCTCTCACTCTCATAGTCATCTTTATCTACTCAACGATTGTGTATTTTGAAAATAAATAAAAATAGTTCTTACTTTCTACACTTATGTTCTCTATATCAATTTATCTCATTTTCTCTCTCTATCTATTGTTTCCTCCTAGTTTTTCTCTCATTCCCTCTCTCTTTTTTTTTTTAATTTTCTTACACACTCATATGGTATTAAGCAAATTGTATAAAAGAACATGAGATCAATTTGGTATGGTTCAAAAATCATTACACCAATTTGATAAAAATTCATAAGAAACTTTTGGCTATAAAATTTACACCAACTATAGAATGATAGAGATGGAGGGAGAATGAGATATTGACCAAGAGAGAGTGAGTGAGGGAAAACAATGAGAGAGATTGAGGGAGAATGATCAAGAGAGAAAGAGAGAGAGAGAGAGGTTTTGATTTGGTTACAAATCAAAGCTGAGAGAATGGGAAAGACAGAGGAAGCGGAAGATCAAGAGATTACTGTGAAAGTGAGAGTGGGTGAAGAGAGGGAGATTGATAAATAAATGAGAGAGAAATTGAAAACCTATTTTCAGTATAGGCTTTTTGTTGTGTCCAACATGGACTAAGAGCCTCATGTTGGCAACAACCACATAAGCCTCTAATGACATGGCGGAAGTTTTTATAATTTGAAATGTAGAGCTAGTTGTCAGAGTTAAAGTAGTATAGATGTACTGAGTCAAACTTAAATGCTTGAAGCCATTCATGCTTTTTAAAGTAGTTTAGATGTGAGCGTCGGAAGACTCACTTAGGATGATTTAGATTCCCCACCCATCAATTATGTGAAATGGAGGTAATGGGACCTCTGGGAATGGTTTTTAAAAACATTTTTGTTTTAATAACGACTCCAAGGCCTGAGGCATCGACTACGCTAGTCTGGATAAGACTTAGATGGGAGAAGGAAGGGGTTAGACACCCCTCTCCTGGGCTCCGTAGGTAGGGCCCACATAAATCCCAAACAAGCATGAATACACAAATATTTACTTAGTTAAGAGCATGCTAATATAAAAGAAAGCGAAGTTTCAAGAAACGAATACAAAAAGATAATTTGTTCTATCACTTATTTTTGT